CATTATTTTTATTTTTATTATTACTGCACACATAGAGATCAGTATAATTTTGTTTAGTGATGAAAGGCAATTATTTCCTGAATGTCCCAAATCGGGTATCCTCTCCGGCACACCATTACTCTGCACAACTTCGTCGATATCCTTCCATTTCATCATCAGTCCTGCACACTTTTAGCGTTGAGTAAAATCATCAAATAATTCAATAAATTTGAACTTTGGAAGTAATGTTTTCTCAGGTCTGTGATCGATACAAGCGAAAGTTTTCCGCAATTGCGCTTGTCCTCAAATTCATGCAAGTCATTTCTTGTCTTTGTTCTATTTTATTCAAAGAATTATTTTGAACAGATTGATATTTTAAATATCCAAGTCACCGAAATCGATAGAACTGCAATTTTGTTTTTTTTTTTTGGAATCGTTGCAGTACAATTTCCAAAAGTTTTAAAATGACAAAAAAGGAATCCTTAAAAGAGCTGATCGTCCTTCAGCTTCCCAACTTCCCAATTCATTTTTTGAGCAAAGAATATTACGCACAATGTATGACAAATCCGTTGATATAGGCACAAAAGTAGCAATATTTTCGGATGAGGAAATTTATTAGAAAAATACACAATGCGTATTATTATTCAGGTCAAATTACAGAATTGAGTGAAAACCCTGAACAAAAAGTAACAAACTTCAAGATGACCTGAGCCCGTTATTTGAAATGCATTTAGTTACCTCAATTTCACTTTCCATTCATTCAGTAGTCTATTTCACCATTAATTGAGATCCAACAAATAATCTTCCTCGATCAATCTGAGAAAAATTCAAATTGCTTAGGTAATTTAAATCAAAATTATATTAGTTGCGAAAAACCAAGTGCCACGGGGTAAACCATTTCTAAAAAGTTATAGTTTTATAAAAATCATTTCTGCCGCCAATATATATAATTTCACATTAAAAGTTATTTCGTTGACATATTTACTTCTGAAAAGTCTGAAAACAGTATAAATCTAAGGCAGCAATCTTACGTCACTATATAACGCAACCGGAAACCGCGTGCTAGTTTCTTACGGGAATGACAAAAGAGAATGATGTTTGAAAAAAAAAAATTCAAATACTGCCCAAGCGCAACTCACTGTTACTTCCTAAACAACTGTGATCTCTTTCCAGATGTTCATATGATCAACGACTAACAATGATTTTAAATAGACGCAGATAAAGAAACACAAAAATCTTTATTTGTTCATGTTAAAGTAACATAAAGATAACAATCCATCAACATAATACCAGCAGTAACCAAAGTACTGCTATGAACCAAACAACTAACAGGAGTCGGAGGCGCCATAGAACTATTTGCAAGTAAAAAATAAATTTATAAGTGCACACAGCAACGACAGAAGTGTGGAATTTCATTTCAATTTCACTCTTCCTTTAAAGAAAATTTGTACCAAGATTTCTTAATATACACTCCGCATGCTAGTAAGTAATACATAAATCAGGGGAATGACAAATTAAAAAATGAGACAGAGGTACGTCATAAAAAACAGCTCATATGTAACGCTAATGGAGCGGATAAATTGATACAAAGCACTGTTCCTGAACTGAAATATCCATTCAGAAGTGCGAAGAACAAAAAAACAATGAATAACCCTCAACTTAATACGACAAATTATACAACCGTAAATAAATCACATGACAAAAGTATCAGAAGGAGAACAACTGTGCAGTCGTGGATAACTGGAAGAAAGTTATGACTGATACAAAATGGTAATTTCCCAAATGAAGTGGTTCACGAGACTTTGGTTGTAGTGACTGCAATCAAAAGATTGTATGAAAAAATATGACAACTAGAAGGTTTAGGTTTTCAAAAACCATCAGAAAATTATGTAAAACCACTTCAACTGACAAAAATTAAATAATCAAATCAAGGTATAAGAAATCAAGAATTATGTATGTCTCAGAGGTGGGGCAACAAGTATGATAGCATCACCTCGAACAAACAACATCGGTATCTGACGCTTCGTCTGCTTATGCATTTCTTCAAAATTTTCTTCATCCAGTTCAACGGTGGTTACTGTCTCTTCTACTTGTGATAATATCATGTTTAAATGTTGGTCGAATGCATGCAAACGACCTCGAACCTGGAAACTTTCAATGTTTCTTAAAATCACAAAGCACCACTGCGGTAATAACTACCGACAGAAGCAGAATGACGAAAGTTCGCATTGTCAAGCTTAATTTTACAGTCTATCAAAAAAAATATGGGCTTAAAAAATAAAATATGGGCGTATTTTTCTCTTGCAATCAACAATTGACAGGAGAACCAACAACCAATAAATTCAGGGAAAACCAATGGTGCCAAAAAGTCATTATCAATAACCACAGTCTCTAAAAAAACAACTTCTGAACACCTCCATGAAGTATTTCTTGACAAAAAAACTGCAGACCTCACGATCGTTGCGCATTTTCACATAAATGCGTTCATCTAAACTTAATCGAATCAAATCCAATGGTTCTTCCACAGCTGTGCTCACAACCTATAAACGAGATTTACAGACTTATAAAGTGACCAACAATTCATAAGTTATATTATTATCAGTCAAAAAAAAAAACAAATACAAGCAAAACATGGCGTGCATTATCAAACATTCTCGCAAGATACAAGAAATCGCGTTTGCTACAAAGATAATATAAAAAATTACGTTTGTTTGTCCTTGTTCTGTTGTCATCCTAAACAGTCCCAGCAGCAGACTTCCACTAAATAATATGTCAAAATAGTATATTAAATAAAAATCCTTAACAAAAAAAGTAACTAAAACAAATTCTACAATGTAGTCTTTATATTAAAAACATACCAACATACAGAATCTGTGATATCTTTGTAAAATTGTAATGAACAAAAGGTATATGTAATCTTTATAATGAAAGCATATCAACATATATAAGTGATATTTATAAAATTGTAATAAACAAGAAATGTAGGCAACTTTTATATTAAAAACATATGAACATATACAACCTGTGATATTTTTATAAAACTATGACAAACAAGATATATAATTTTTATATTAAAAACATACAACATATGCAACGAAATACGAACCACTCACGATAAACGTCATATTTCAAATCTTTGAAGGACAAAAATAGTAAATCTCTTGAAACTTGTCCTGTAATACAGCTACTCACATCTGAGATTTAGAATGTAAATTTTAGAAGCATAAAAAATCCGAAAAAAAAGAAGTATATCAAAAATCACTGCAAATGTTTTCCCAAACAACACTTCAAAATAATTTTCTTTTTTATGCAGTTTTACTTTTTCCAATTTCTCCTGATATCTCAGCTCAACCGTCAGTAAAAATTGGAAAAAAACTTCTTATGAACCAGTGTCCCAAAAAATAAGATGCAGTGTTTTAGGATGGAATGAGACTTACCTTTTTGGATTACATTATTTCACAGAAAACAGCAGCCTATTCTACTAATGGAGTCATAAAATAATATATAACATGAACGTTTATATTTTGGCGACGCCAGAGACAGAACCTTGAACGTAATTAAACAACCGATCACACCCAGCTCCATTACTTTGTATATTAAAAATAAATTTTTTTGAAAGACAAGCACCTATAATGTTATTATTAATGCTTTGACAGTGAAAATCATGCCTGACTCCAAAAAATAACCGCTTTTAATGAAAATAAAAAAAAGATCTGTCAAAACAAAAAAGCAGATCTAAGCTGAGGTTATTAAAGCAACACTCAAGACAGTGTTGTTTTGGATAATCAAGCTAAAAAATAAATAGGAAGAAGTGGATGGAATCATGAGCTGTTCCACTAGCAAATTATTCCTGTTTGACACGACATACGGCAACAAAATGCGCTTTGGTCACCGGACATAGATACCCTACAGGACCATCCTCACAGTTTGCGCATACCAAATATTTGACACCATCGCGAGCATGCGTAAAACCAATATTTTCAAAATCGAACATTCTCTCAACCTGCCACCTACAATATTGTAATGTCTCCAACATTTAATGTCTTGTTTACGAAGCTCGCAAATAATGATTACCAGTATTATACAGATAGCTTAAAGAGATTCATCGATCTTCCTTGAAATATGCTGTATAATCCATTTTCTAATTAGGATTACCAAGAGAAAACCATGCCTTCATAAAAACCTGAGCTCTAAATAACAAGTTACTTCTTTTTCATGACACACTTATTTTTTTTAATTCTGTATATTGGAGCTTTACACCATTGGAATTTGTGCAATTTATGGTTTAAGTCAGTGGTATTTGTGTTCACGAAAAACAAACCATGAATTGATGACCTCTGAGCTTACTGAAGTACTGTTTTTTGTCTGTTGACAAAACGGTAACGAAAATGGCTTGGCATCCACAAAGGACGCAACATTAGGAGACAATATCGCGCAGTTACATCGCATGCAATGAATGGAAAGGGCATTTCGATTGTTTGCAGAAAGATTCTGAAACAAATAGTTTTAGAGGTTAGCAGTAGTACAGTGATCTCAGTGAAATTAGGAGAAAAAGAAAAAACCACCAACTTTTCCAATGAAATTAAAAAAAAAACAATACAAGATCGCTATTATGTGTTAAATGAGCGCTGTCCATTTCGAAATGAATTGATTAAACTGTCTTTCAGTGCAATCCGTCTACTCAAATCAGCTATCCTTGCACGTTGGTGATTTTCGTTTCTAAAAAAAATTTGCAGTTTTCCCTCTGCCCAAACATTTTTTGATAGAAATTATAATACAGATAATGCAAAAAAAGTTTTAGAACGAAATTCCAAAATATCCGGTCTATTTCTAATGCAGACAGCACTTCCACGCAAAAAGTATTCGTTATGAAAAGCATCTACCACAACTTATCATACCCAATTATATCAGAAATAGAATCAATAGATTCTTTGAATTGTTCCAGTGATGCTTCCAAGTACCGTAGCTTTATCGCGATATCCGAACCGTTTCCTTTTTCAGCTCTGTAACGTAATAACCATTACCCAGCAATCACCAAATTAAGACATTATGACCGAAAGTGGCAAGAATAGTCACTGAACTTAAATGCTTCGCGCTATGAGACGAAAGCAGATGAAGTAAGGTAAAGGGTTAAAATAAATCCACACTTCTTGCAAGCATTTCGTGCTGGACATGATTACATATAGAAATCCTGAAATATGTTTGGAATGAAGCCATCAAACCAAAGAAATCCTGAAATATGTCTAGGACGAAGCCGTCAAATCGTGGAAATCCTGAAATATGCTTAGATAAACATATGATAAAGCTGTTAAACAAATTCCACTCAACGAAATAAGAAACAAACCAGCGAAACAACTTACAAGGCAATGAGGTTGTGGATGCTGTTGTAAATATTATTTAAATTCTTCAGAGCATCCACACTCATAATAATCACATTTAGGAAGCTTAATCAATGAACACATTCATTCCATCCATTCCATCAATATCCGACCAACTTTTATTTACGGTGACACCATCTTGAATTGACCCCATATGCATCTTCGTCATGTGCAATCTTTAATTGTGTTCGAATTTTAAGGACGATTGTTCGGATATAATTCGGCCTATACGAGCGGTTTGCAGATTTGAGTAGAGATTAGGCCGTTATATGGTGATTGAAGAATGTATTTTACTGACCCTTATTTCCCAATGGGCATCCTGTTCGGGACATGTTCTTTTTTTTCATTTATTTCATTGAAATACTACATGTGATTATTTCAAAGTGGATATCTATTCAGAAATACTGAGTGACACAACCCCCAAAACAGCATGAACTCACACTTCACTATCCTTCTTTTTCTACACTGTCATTATCATCACTCACCAATTCTTTTAATTTCCCAGGCGAAATCTCCTGGAAAGTCATTCTCACGCTTTGCCGTGATGTGCATAGTAATCTGTTTTGCGTTTTGTAGGCATGATATTTGAAAGGTGCTTGGAGTGCTGGCATAGAGGAGGGAGAGGAAATGAGCTTTCAAAACACGGTGTTTTACTAGAACAAGATTGAGATGTATTTGAGCTTAGGCTGCTTCATATTTTAAGCACAGTAGTATACTTGAATCAATCGTGCAAGACTCGAATAGACAACCTGTTTGAGTGTTTTACGTTTTTCGTCAGTTTCAATTTATTATATGGGACTTTCGCCGTTACTTGGCTTATCCACTCATTTTTCAGGTATGTCGAAGCAAATAGGTCTTTTCGAAAAACTGGCGAATGCTGCAGGTCACATTTACCGCTATCAACTGACTCAGGTAACTACTAGTGGTTTAATCGAGCGTTATGTGGCTGCGAGGTTTGCAAATACAGATAAAAATAAGAAAATGATTTTATAAGTTAGATCTCAACATCTGAGATGCGAAAGAAAACATGGATTTTGTAGCAAGGTTTTTGGGTCGAGTGCTGTTCCCTTTCAGAATTTCTGTAGGATTTCTGAAATTTCATGCACTCACAAAGTCTTTGTTCTTCTAAGCTTCCTCGGCGAAAAGCACTGTGGAAAGATTGTTGGCATAAAGAACTAAAACCACCGACAAGGGAAGACTGGCCAACCATCAAGAAGGATTTCAAGCAAATGATGGATATCATTGCAAGCAGATCATATACCCAGTGGACTGTTATGGTTAATGATTGTTTGTTCCTTTTATATCATTTATTAGTGGAATACAGCTTGTTCACGAGGTCTCGTTATAGCAGTATAAACTAAAATTGGCAGTAAAATAGTAAAAAATGGGATTGTCTTCCCACTTTAACGGTTTTCCCCTAGCATCATAAAGATATATAATGTTAAAATTTTGAATGACGATATGGAAACTCTGATATTATGATATCATTTCTGTTTGAATTAAAATTAAGTGGAATCCTAAGCTGTCATTAAGACGCGCTATTTCAATACCAAACGTTCATATAATGATTAGATTTCTTCTTATAGATTTCAAAGAGGAAATTGAGGATAAAATTGCTTTGTTAGAAAAAATTCTGGTTATTGTTTATGGTAAACGTACTCATTCTTTCTTCAGGATACGCTGGTGCGAACATGTATTGCCGTGGAAATAATTTGTTGGTTTTTTGTTGGCGAAGCTATTGGACGTCGTTCATTTGCTGGCTATATTGTTCCAGCAAATTATATTGACAAAAAGCTAGCGAACATGGCGAAGCATCACTAAGATAATACGTAGGACATTGTTGTGAAAGCCTGATGAACATCGAATTCTTTCTAATTTATTTTGAAAACATCATATATTTATAGTTTTTACAGATGATGATGATTAAAAATTCAATAGCTGAATTACTCATAGATGTAAGTAAAATGCATCATGACATTTAGAAAGCGAATGCTTAGATTTTTATGGTGTTAATAGACACTTCCAAATTCCGTGTTTGGGAAAATCGGAAAGCGAATTTCGACAGATGTTGATATAATATGTACGTTGATATAATTCTTTTGCCCTGATATGTTTTGATAGATTTGGTATAATTTGATACAAAAAAGTGTGGCTATCACACACTTGTTGTCGTTACATTCGAAAAGGATTCATGATTATTTAAAATCTATGGAACATTCTTTGTATTGTTGCAGCTGTCAAAAATTATGAATTCTAGGGCATTCTTTCAAGGAACAAATTCAACGGAATTGAACATTGAAAGTACTTTCTTATCATAGTGACTTGAAAAATCAGAATTAATATAATCTGTTATTCTATCATGACAATTTACCAGCAGATTCATCCTGTGAGGGATTTACGTTGCTGTGAAAAAAAAGTGTCTGTATAAGTTATTTAATTGCGTCTCACTCTAAAGTGAGTAGTTATTGTGCGGCATTATCGTATTGATGGGCTAATTATCGGTTGTTTACTATTGATGGTACTGTTCGGCGACTGCATCACTGTGCGAAGGTTCTTCGAAAGAGGCAGAACGCAGTATTAAAAGAGAAGATAAAGTGAAGGTAAAATAAACAAAACAAGTAAGTACGCTTTATCTTGTGGCATAAATTGTGAACTCCATTTTCTCAAAAATTAAAAAAAATTCCTGGAGAGCATTGATGTCATTTTTCACTTTTGACATTTCTCGTTTATTCCATCGTAATTGCGGCATATCTATGTCTAACGGTACAGGTCTTTTGTAACAACATTTGCTCATTACTTCCGGCAATGTTATATTTTTCTTTTGTCACATTCCAGACAGAATCAGTAGTTAACTTTCCAGATGAGTTCCTGCTCCATTCTCGTCATTATTTTTGTTGATTTTTTAATCCTTCGCAAATTCCTCCTCACTGTATCATATTTTCGACTTTCCTTTAATTCCAATTTTTGTATGAGCAGCAACGGCATAATCTACTATTGCTAATAATTCATACACGTCAAGTTTAAAAGCCATTCTATTCTTGCCATTCTATTCTGCGTACATCTTTAGTTGTCACTCATTGTCCAATTCTCGATCAAGCCAAGTGGATAATTCGTCAACCACTAACAGTATCATTGGTATTTGAGATGCAATCGGTGAATAATGATTCAGATCAATTCTAGGTTCAGATCGATGTTTCCCCTGCTTTGAATAGTCCAGGTCATTCCAGATAGAGATGACCCGGAGTCGAAACCAGGTCATCGTATTGCATCTCGGGTCATCGTATTGCACAGTGCGGTTGTAGCTCATGCAGCTCTAATGTGCACCCCGCCACATGCGCCGTAAATATACCGCGGCTGGAGGAAGTTTGAAGATGACACTTCGTAAATGTAAAATGCAGCAAATAATGTTGGTAGCGTGGGTGTAGTGTCGGAATATTGGGCGAATGCTGGGCGAGAAGTATCTCCTATTCGTTCGTTGCATCGCTCCTTATGAAAATAGTATGTATGTATAACTGAATGAGGAACGATCTATCGTTACGTGGAGTATTGGCCTATTGATTTACTTGATGTTATGGGGACATATTCACTTCAAAGTTTTCGTACTTTCATGAGTTTTTTCATGTTAAGTTTTCTGGAAAATTTTATGTTCCATTCCTATAAATGCTTTGAAATGATGTAAAAAAATACTTGTGTATCAGTCTTATACGCTACTTTTCTGCAAAAGTGGATTTATATGAATTAACGCTAATTCTGCATTCGTTTTCATGTATAATCTCTATTTTCAGATGAGGTGGAACTTACCGGCATTTTTGTTTTATGTAAGTATCATACGTGGGGAAGACACAGATATGAATGATTCAGCGCATATTGTTGCATCAAAATTTACGCTATCGCAATATGCAGTTGAAGGAATGGATTATGTTATTGATTATCGTCTTTACAACGTCGGGGACAGAGTGAGAAATATTGAATGTCATGATAACAGTATTCATGAGATAGATTTTCACAATACCAGTGTTAAATGAAAGTTTTATTAATACTATTTTTGTCTTATGAAGCTGAATTATATTTAGGTGAGTGCAATAGACAAAGAGTGAAAACATGCTTTTCACTCTTTTGTTCTTAAACAGGTTTTTCAGGCTGCCCTACGTGTAGCATTAGATGATCGAGATGGTTTTCCCACACAAGCTTTTGATGTTGTACGAGGCCTCTTGCAGGTAATTTGGTTCTTCACTGGATTTTTTTGATACATAAAAATTTATGGTGATTCTCTCTACAGATTTCAGTTAATTTATTTTTCAAAAATTGGCTAATGCCTAAAGAGTTGTTTTCTAAATTTTAGGTACGTTGGGAAAGAATAGGTCCCGGCAATAATGTTTCACATTCAGTAGTGGTGCGTCCACGAGCTGTTGGTGCATTTAATTATTTACCCGCGCAGATAACTTATTATCCAACTGAAGATGCGAAAGAAGTGCGCATCAGCCATACAACTACTCCAGGCGAAGGTCTTTTTGTTTACGTTGAAGAGTGAATATGTTTTGAAGTTGGAATACGTATTTCACATTTTTGTTCGTTGTAATTTATCTTTCAAAACACTGCAAAGATTTTATTTGCACTCACTGCAGTGGTAGGACACTCAGCATTGGATCGCCACAAGTAAAGAATGCATATTATGGGAAAATATAGTAAAACTTGTTGATACAGAAAAAGTTCTTTAATTAAAAGATATTTTTAGGATATATTTATCGACGAAAAGATTATGACCGAAAGTTTTCGGCGAAAGTGGGTGTGTGGTTGGTATTTTTAATGCTAGTCGCACCATCAACAGTTATTCCGTTTGTATTGTGGTACAATAGTAAGGCGAAATATGATCAGGAGACTCCGTCGAAAAAAAGCAAATAGATTTCACGCAGTTATCGCAATCTGCTTCATTATTAGTGTGACGGAAGCTTCTAAAAATGAGTTTTATAACAGGTCACTTTATAAAATGAGTTTTATAAAAATTTATGACAGCGAAAATACAATCGGTAAAGAAATTTTTATGAAATGGTCTCATAATTAGATGTAGTAAAAGTATATGAACTTCTAAGCAAAAGATCATCAAATTTCTGATTGAAATTGCCTGTCTTATTTCATCTATTTGGTCCAAAATTTGAAATTTTTCAAGACGTGTGTTTGGTGATTGACATCTGCAAAAAAGTAAGGAAGTGGTTTTATTTTAGTTTAAAACAAATCACGTTTTTGGTTGGTCGATTTAGTAACCAAATTATGACAGCACTTATTGGAAAACAGTATTTGTCACTTTCGCTATTTCTTTTTATATGCTCATCTGAAAGCTGTTTTTTTACAGCTGGCTAAAAGTCAATCCTTAGCAAATGCTGGAATTATGAATTATTCGGGTTTGAAGTTGTTGACTTCAAAAACAGCGAAGTTGTTGTGTCATTGCTTTTCATATTTCTTGTGTTATATAATTTATTGTCTATATTTCAATTTCTAATTATTTTTTTTGTGGCATCAAACTGCTTCATGTCATTGTGATATAAGTCTTTTTATGATTTATATAAAGTTCTTGATTTATTATAACTAATACTTGTTTCTCAATTTCATTTTTTTGTGGCTTTAATAGATTTGCAGATGAGGTTTATATAATTTGTAGTAGTTTAGCGGCTTTGTTTTCCCATGCAATTTGCAATGCTTAGGTAAGGTAAATAGGAAAAAAAATCAATCGACTAACCTAGCCTGCTCTGAAGGAATGCACGCATCGCTTTTGGTTTGTATTATGTTGTGCGGGTCTCTTAAAATATAAAAAATTAAAAGACAACTGGATATTAATACAGCTATATACATTTTCAAATAATGACGTCGAAAATATATATGTCAGTTGAGATGTTGTCGAGATTCCACGTTCGAGATTATGCGGAATACTGATTGTATGCTTTAGTTTGTGATCTCATTGTCCTGCAGGTCGGATTTGATTTTCTAGATGAGTACATTGGTTTGAAGATTGTAGCTAAACTAGGCTCACGTGATGTATGGTACTACTTTCTTTGTCCCATTTCTCCAGTCGGTGAGGCTACAAAGTGAACCATTGTTTGATAACTGTGGAGCCCAGCTTGCTGGTTCCTGAATTGTGAGACTTCTAGTTGAAATTCAGCAGTAGGTCAGAAACTGTAAGACAAATTGCAAAGACGTAAAGACTGGTTTTCAAGTACTTCGTGTGCAATGTTGAATGAACAGTGCCGACTTTGTTTGTAGGAGTTGAATGTTTGGTGATCTACGTTGTCTATTGCACAACAATTGCGGGTTTTTGTACCTTGGGATAGTATGGTCCTCACACCGCTAAACTATAAATCTTGTTTACTTTAAATTTAAAACAGGCCCAATGTTTATGTTGTCGTTGACGTTGGTAACCAACCACAACCATTTCTTCGAACACATCGACTTTCTGTTACCAACAGCATTTCTATTCCTTCAAAGTTTCATTTAAATTTTGACAGTATCATTTATAGTTACTGAATCAGTGATAAACTTATCATTCAAAGCAAATGAGAATGAGGTTCTGTGCATGAGGTGGAGGAGCATAATCGTTTTCATAATTAATTAAAAAACTATTTTAAGTTTTCATATACGAATCTTGTTACAGCTTAAAAATCCTTCCTAAACTTATTTAAATTTAAAGTTTTTTATTTTTTATGCGAAACAAGAAGAGCGAGTCTATAAGTCTAGTGTTTTTTAAAAGGAAATTAAAATTCAGCAATGTTTTGATTATATTTTGTTTTCATAAAAAGAGTTAAAAGTTGAAATTAAAAAGGCTTTTAAAAATTTCCAAAAAATGGCGACTAAATTATACTGAGCAGTTCACGTACTTCATAATTTTTCCTCATCTAATTCCACTTCTATTTTTGAAATTTCGAACGAAATAATGGATAGAGTGGTATATACCATTCATATATAAATAGAAGATTGTGAAATCTGATGTAACTGTAATTGCTACAATTTCATCACTTTTTCACGGAGTAGCTTATATGCTCATGAGATTGAATTCCTCATATTTATGACAATGGCAGATAATATGCGAATTATCAATCTCTTAAAAGAAACTTCATAATTGTGAGATTTCAAAGTACTTTCTACATTATTCCCTACAATTACTGCACAACTACTGCTTATAGAATGTTTCATTGAAATATATCAATTACATTTGCAGCGCAGCGTAGACGCATGATTTTTCTAAAAATTAGTTTATGTGTCATTGTACATGAAACAATTTTACACATTGCTGTAGCTGCAATGGAAGACGATGTGGATGATTTAAAGGTTGGCTGTAATGAAGACCTACTTTGGTCATTATGATGTCTATTTCACAAATGTTATTAAATGGAAATTAGTTGTATAAAAAGCATTATTTATTTTCAAAATTTAATGCTGCATATAATCCACTTAGTTTTTTAAAATATGACTTTGATTTAGCGAATTTACAGTTATTATACTAAACCGTTATAAAAATTAAAGTATTTATTTCAATTATAGTATTTTGATCGGCGGAAAACTGATTCTGAAACATTCCTAATGCCATCCGACTTCGCAATGGCCTCAGAGCTTGATGATGACTGGCAAAACAACGATGACTGGGCTCTTTACAGTAGTGGCAAATTTGAGGGTGATATGGATATAGACGTTATTGAATTGGGAAATGTGAGTTCATTTTTCTAGTGGATTGCAATTTTTTAACTTTTAGTCGGAAGCAACTACGTCGCTAATTCCGTCTTTCTAATTTCTCTAACACTTTTATTTTTTGGTCAAAGTTTTTTTGTTCTCAGAAGCATAATATCTGTTTTTAAAATAGCGTTCTTTTTGAGTGGTTACTTGCTTTATTATATGCCCTGTCGGTTTTATAAACTAAATGCATCTTTGCTATGGTCATTAGATAATGTAAACAAAATGACACTCAACTCTGCACACAATTCTATGATTTGTCATCGTCATCATATTTTCAGATCTATCCAAATGTTGATAACGATGACACAAATCCGCAAAACAATGTGCTGTACAATGCGGTACGAAATCGACATCAACTGTGGCCTAGTTCCCGAATACCATATGCTATGAGTAGCCAGTACAGTCCATATAGGTAACACTTCCCAATACTTTTTAAGATTATTAACTAGAGAGTATAAAAGTTACTTGCACTTAATTCTTAATCAACAGCAAAAAATTTAACAATTCGTTTGAAAGTAATAAAATTTAGGGAGTTGCTATTTCGCAGTTAACTTTTAGATGTCGTCAATACATTAAAGTAATTTAGGTTGTACTGGAATAATTTCAGTGTTTGCCTTGTGTGTTATGGATTTCCTTAACACTGGAAAAAAAATTGTACAGAAAGAAATTCTATTCCTTAGATTAGATTCAATGGAAAAAATTACCACATTAAATCCTACTCACCATAATTAATAATAGAGGTGGGATGTGGTATAACATGTATGATAATAGTTTGCAGTCGTTCGGTAATAGCATCTGCAATGGAGGAGTATGCCCAACGTACATGTGTTCGCTGGGTACCACGATCTACTGAGGATTATGATTATATCTACATAATGCCCGACCGAGGATGCTACTCAATGGTCGGTAAAACAGGTAACTGACATCTCTAATCATTCACAGTTCTCATCGTTCTCGTTATCTGTTTCGCTTATCATTTTTTGTCGTGCACAATGTGAACTTGAATTCACATTACAATCTAATCAACATACAAGACGTGACCTAAATTTGAAGCATTTTTACAGTGTTGTAAGTTTAGTTAATTTTAAAAGGATTTGTTAAATTTACTGATTTGATTAGGTGGTAAACAAACGGTATCACTTGGTACGGGATGCATACAAAAGGGCATCATAATGCATGAATTGATGCATGCAGTGGGGTTTTTCCATGAACAATCCAGAAGTGATCGAGATAATCACATAACAGTGCTCTGGGGAAATATACAACCTGGAATGCAAGGTTAGTTCTTTCGGTAGTACGTTCAAGTGACTCCTCTTGCAACAAATAAAGTGACACTTTAAAATGCATGTTCTAATTCCACTAAGTCATGTTTTTTTTCTTGAACCATTTGGATTTTTTATTCATTACAGTTCAGAATTTTCTCAATGCTATATCATATTTGCAGGTCAATTTGAAAAATACGATCATGGCATGACCGATTCACTCGGTGTTAACTATGATTACGACTCAATTATGCATTATGGACCGCTAGCATTTAGTCGCAATGGTCAACCAACATTAGTGCCAAAAATTCCCGTCACAATTGGTCAACGACTGCATTTCAGCACACTCGATGTATTCAAAATCAATAAGCTTTACAACTGTCCACTGCGTATGTTTGAAATTTTTTATTCTTTTATTATCATATACGAAGAAAGGTCTGAAAAGGAAGTTTGGCAAATGATTAGATATAAGCGCCAAGATTTCAGCAAAAGATTTAAAATTTAAAGACTTCGTATTTTATTAATAGTTCAGCTCATTTTTGCTTCATTGGTAAATTTTCAGCTTCAATAATTCCAGATGTGACTGAAATACAGAGAGTGGCGGCAACTTCATCTAAAATCGATGAAAGTCAGAAATCCACAAACACATCTATACATTTGATCATCACTGAATTCTGCAAAAACATTCGTTCGGATTGTGATGAACTCGTCGTTTATGGTAATTTTGCGAGTTATAAATTCCTGAAGTCATTCGCTACAATGTCATTTGGAAGCTTGTATCATTTGAAAGATTTCACTCACTGAAAAAAATATAGTATTTAAAAATGTTTTAGGCTACGGTGTTAGCACTACAATAATTGGAATAGTTCTGGTTTTTTCCTGTTGCTGTGCTTTCTTCAATAGGTTCACAATGACACCACCCTCTCCTTGCGCATGTCAATCATCAGACTGTTCCCGATATTCAATTTTTCATGATACTCCATTGTTACTGTTCAGGATGGTGTATAAGTAACCCACGATGGATGAAGCATTACTGCCCGAAGAGCTGTAGCATGTGCAACAATTCCACAGGTATACTAATTAACAATTAACACATTACTAAAGTATATCGAAAACTACTCTGGTAGTATCCAGACCTTCCTAAATAATAACAGAACTCCAATTAATTTAACGTGTCCATTTCACAAGATTTCAGTTCACCCATGTGTAGACCAGCGGTCAGACTGTTTTACACTTGTGCAAAATGGCCACTGTATAATTTCAAACGCATTTATGCAAGCTTTCTGCCCAAGATCATGTGATTTTTGCAAATTAATGGAAGTGTTAAGTAATGAAACAGTGGCAACGTCAAAATTATCAACTACAAGTGCAATAATAACAACTGCAACAGAGGCAACAACGAGGAAGTTCAACAGGTGAGCTTGTGATAAAAAAAGAGGGCATTTTGTTCACTTTCATTATTCAGTAACTTCCTAGCTTTTCGCCTCTACACATTACACATCCCACCAGGACTTTCCAATCGTTCAATGATAGTACATGACTTTCATTGATATTTGTGAAAGCTTATCAACCAGTTTATAATATTTCGTGCTTGCATGGTTCACTCAAACTTCCGAATGTCGGTGCTATCATGATTCGAAATACCCAGGCCCAATTTAAATCCTGAGTCGCATCAGATCTCCTTTACAATTTTGTTGACTAAATGTCATATAAATTAAGATTTGAAAATCACAGACTGAAACAATCGTTTGGAACCGTATGGAGAAAGCTAATCAATTCAAAAATAAATTCCACTGAAGTATCTTCAACGCAAAAAACGTGCAGTGATCGGAAACGTTTCTGCACTCACTGGAAAAATATTGGATTCTGCAAAGGACTGTTTTCCAATTTTATGATGGAAAACTGTCAACGGTCATGTAAAATGTGTAGTAGTGAAGATAATGATAAATTTTCCGAGTGAATAAAACACTTGCTATACCTTATGAAAAAAGTTGAGTTAACAAGCAACACGGACGTTAACTTAAATTTTCAAACAATTAAGTGTTAGAATATAGCTTCCCTCACTACTAATCATAACACTTGGAAAAAAATATAACTTATTTTTAAAAAATTCGAATTGTTGGTAGGCGACAAAGTGATCACAATTCAGATATGTTGCAGTATTAATCCATGAAGATATTTTCTTCTTCCGATGTAGGGATATCAGGTACACACTGAAAAGCAAAATAGTTAATACTCAGCACGACTTCTGTAAATCTGACTTAATAAATCAGTCAACTGGGCAGCTGTAGTGAGCCACTTCTAAAAAAACATTCCAAATTTGATATGCAGTCGTTGAGAAATCCTGATAGTTTTTTACACAAAATGTAATGAAAACAAACTTACAAAGAATTCAAGAAAGATACGGTTGTCTTCATTATGTTTCACCATGAATTGTACAGACAATATGCCCCGGTGGTCAATACGGAGAGACAACTAAAAGAAGCCATGCAATAATATCTTATCCACGAAATTTCTCGGGATTTAGCACTTATTGCAGAAACTTGAGTGATTAAAACCTTACACCAAGATATCATCACCTTACTGCAAATATTCAAGGAAGGAGTCATTCGCTTTACCAGACTCAGCCTATAGGTAAACTCGATATCCTGCTTACATTCAAATCGTTCGATTTGCTCAGAATAATGCGGAAACTTTGTCTGAAAAGATGTTCAATGTATTTAGACAAAAACAATAAAAAATATGGCACAAGAAGTCGGATACTGTACATGCAGACAAAACTGCTTCAAGTAAATAACTAAAAGCTGCCGTAGTAATGCAAGTTACACCAGAAAACAAGCCTGCAAATGATACTTAAGTGCAAAATGAACCTTGATTTTACCCAAATCTCCTTCCGTGGTTACGCTTAGTGAAAATCGATCAACTTTGAAACTAACGGATCGGCTGCTCTGGTCAAGTTCATGAAATGTTTCTTTCAGCATCCGTGGTTTCATTATAACCTTTGCGGCGACAGTAGCGGGATTGAAATCAAAATCGAGTATCTAAATTGATTTTCGTATTGACATCAGAAATTTTACTTTTTAAGTTTTGCTTCAATTTAACCTGTAAATTATTTACTATGTCTGGATTTTGGGTTTTGATTAAGCTCCTTGCAACAATTCCATCCTTTTCGACCATGACTTTGAGAGGTTCACCGAAACCATTGTAAGTCATTTTCATAACTGCACTGACTCCAGCACCAAAGGCGCTTAAGCATCCCTGCAAATAAAAAAGGGGTAGCTACGCGGCAGTAACTCGACACTTTAATACCTTTTGTTCATCGGTGGTAAAACTGACAATTAGTAGAAAAACAATAAGTAGTAAAACTGAGAAGTATAATAGAAGGAAAAAGTATGTCTCGAAATGAATAAAAGTAACCGTGAAAATAGGAAGAGGTATGCGAAACGTTACAACATCTTCATTTAGAATAAACTCAGTAAATAAATCGCTTTTAAAGTAAGCGATTCCTTGAACACAATTTTGATCATCCACGACAATTCGTAAACCATTCTTGCTAATATCAACAACACAATTCTAAAAGAAAAATATCAATATCTAATTCAGTTACTATCCATAGCAATTAAATTTCGGTTTTTGTGCAACAACTAGTGAGTGGATGAAGTCGACTAACTGCATTGCTGGCTTTTTCCAAACAACTCAACAAAAAGTGTGTAAATATGTGCCTTACGCTTTCAAGACATTCAGAATTTGCAATAAACAAAGACTGATAAAACGACGAAAGTAAGCGACTAATTGAAATTAAAGCTCATACACATAAAATACGTCCATACAACGTACGGGGATTTTGATGCAAGACTTATACAGTTAGAAATACAAATGAACAAATGCTTGAAATTGACATAACAAAATGAAAGATGAGAGAGTAACAAAGGACTCATCAGTAACAACTGGCTCAACAAAATAGAAATAAGAATGGAGGAGGTGTAAGTTATCATTCAGAAGACATTCGTCATGTACTTTTTTGCGCTCCATGTGTGGAATGTTTGGCCCAGAATAGTAAATTACGCATATTTCTTGAACGATAACTTAAGAAATATGATGCCTTATGATATCCTTTTGCAGCATACAAACGATCGCTATATGTCTCAAACAAGAAAATAAAATAGTTCTAATGATTATAAAAAAAACTGAAACTATGTATTTTGCATTTGGGAATTTAAGAATAAGAAATGCAATGTCAAACTGAGTCTAATTGGAACAGCTTAGTAAGAAATGGAAAGCATAAAAGACTGTAAGTTAGTAGTTCTACAATTTCCGGAATGATCATTGGAAGCGATGAACTATAGAAAGAGATAAAACATGAGTAATGAATATCCCCTCTTAAAGAATTAAGAATTAAAAAAAACCCAACAGGTGCTCTAACAATTGCAGTTGAAGACGCTTGGCACTATGTCCGAAAATAGAAATTTGAAAATGCACAGAAGAAAAGTGCTGAACGTAAAGTTTGAAGTGGACATCTACGAAACAGAAGAAATATAAAAGGCTTTCATCATTAGATTAGCTAAAGCTTTTTACCACATTTTTAAGTAAAAGGAGTAAGATCGAAAAAGCTGTCACCCAATCTACTTATCCTCATTTCATTAAACGGCTCAAGAGAGTTTTCATGTCACTGGTCGCCTTCATGGACAGCAACTATAAGGACAAAATGAAGTGCGTTCTAGAACGCGTAAAAAAAGCTCATCCCTTTGCATCACAATAATAAGTACAGCTACTGTGTTTTAAGCTCTTACAGACGTAGAAATCAGTATTACATTGGGAAATTAGTGAAAGAAATGCAATACAAAGTGTCATTTTTTCCTCTTCCCTAATTTGCATATCATTGAAGAAGTGTGGGAATGTCATTTTCATGCCACCTTTTCACTGTATTTGGAAAAAGTTTAAATGATTAGAAGCATGAACAAAAACTGGAGAAAGATCTATCACCTGTTGTTCGTGGGTAATGCGGTATTTTGAGCAAGTATATTAATGAAATAAAATATAGTTTATAGGAACGAAAGCACGAAAGACAATATGCTTACATGGCCAAGGATGATGATGCTTCAATGTAATTACGTCAATTTGAAATAGAAATGTCCATCACCATCTTCAATAACATATTTTTTCGAGAAAAGTTTCCAGCAATAGCAAGCCTTATCGACCAATTTCTCAGAAAAAAATTCAAATTCTTCAGAACTGTTGCATTAACACGGCCTACGAATGCAAAAAATGGTCGGTGGAGTTAGGATTGAGGAATAAAGAGCATCCTGGCTGGTTCAGTAATATCCAAAACATTGTATTGAAAGCCTGAACAATCTTAGTTTCTAGTATGTTGCCTGCATATACACTATCAATTTTATAACAACCAATAGTACTACCTCTCGAAAAGCGAGTGCCCTCAATGCTTGATGAAGATCACGAACATTTTCTAATTTCAAGAGAACCAGCGTCTGTTCAGGTGCTACTCTATCAAGTACAAGTGTCATCATAGACCAATTTTTTTGCTCTGAAATGGAAAGTTAATAAAATTAGAACCATTTTCACGCTTCAAATACTAAACAAATTATCAGCATTAAGACATTCCTCATTCTCTTAGATAGCCCCTCATTCTTAGCACTTTGGAAACCCAGAACGAACCAAATGTGAGACATTAACGAAGCGTTTTTTATAAATTCGCGATCATTTTTCAATATAATGTTTCATATTTTCGAATTCGTCAAAGTAACAAACATAGCAAAAAATGGTATTAGTTGCCCGAAAAACAAATCTTATCACTTCCTTTGATAAGAGACAATAAATTTCACACGATCAACCATTCGAATTTCCGCGCTTGAAGAGATCTGTTGTCGGATGGAAGCTTTCAGTTTTGCTTATGATTGGAAGAGTTCTATTATCCGTAGATAGCTGTAAAAGGGAAGTAGGTTTCCATTATCAGAATGTGCAGATGGATTTGTTGAGCTTAAGAGAAAAATTTAAGACTTGAAGTACTGGCTTTATGAATTATGCCAAAACAAAGTAACCTTACATATACCACAAAATGTTGGGAAATGTCATATGTTTAATGATTTAAACAGGATGAATATGACCTTGGACAGAGAATCCCATTTTCTTAGACTGATTCATTAAAGTTACTTTTGCTGAAGAGAATTTCTGCACATTAACAATTTAGTCTCCCTATTTTGTTCTCTTCATTTTCAATTGTTTATCGATATAATTTACCGCGCTGTAAATAACAACTGATTTATGTGCAGAAATATCTGCAACATGTCTTAATTTTGGCTAAAATAGTTTGAATAAACTACGTTCTATGAGCTCTATGTTAAGTGATAAGAAAATGGATCTTTTTAGCTCTTACTGTACCACATTGTATGAGGTCACAATATTTGAAAAGCCGTAAGAGTCTGATCCCTATATATCAAAAGCCTCTGAGAAGTAATGTTTAGTTAGCATTGAGGTACATTGAACGGGTAATAATTTTCGCAACGATTAAAAACTGCAAACAAGTTAACATAACTTCTTGAGGAAGAAGCACTAAAATGCAAGTAAATGGATAAGCTAAAGGAAGGCTGGGATTTAGTCTTCACAGCACAATGCCAATAGTAGCATCGGTAGCTCGGTGAATTCCCTCGTCTCCATAATTTAATGATAAATAGAATAAATTAAACCAATACTCAAGAAATCATTAGCCCTCATACCACCCAGTGATGATACATACACAAAAGGTCCCTTACCCAGAATATGTCGAACTTTGTGCAATCTCTTCTCTGAGGCAATACACAAATTTCTCGCCTTCTCTGCGACTCTCCCCCAATCATCCACTCAAAGCCACTATCCCACTGTATGCCGTCGTCTGCCAATCTCCACGACAGACGCACTACGTCAAAATTATCGACCGTTTCAATAACCAATACTTATTGACTACTTATTTCGACAACTGTTTATTTCTGTGTGTAATATAACATACCACATCGCGACTAAAGCATGCTTTATCGCTTCTCTACGCTTTGTTTTTCTAGAATACCTGTAATTAGCAAAAAAAACCAAACAGTCTTTAACGAGAGTTAATCCTAGTGGCGGGATGAAGAGTACATATGAGGATATACTGCAGTGAAGACAAGTGTGGATAGTGAAGTAAAGGAACAAGGAAGAGTGCGAGATATGTGTGACCCGAGCTCGACCTTTCATGGTATTACCTCTTTATCAGTAGCAGTAGCAAGTATTCTGGAGTAGGGAGTGCAAATGCAAAAACGCAACTGCATCCATCTTCGGGACATACTGCTAACTGCCCTTTTCTCGTATGATATGATATAAGCATATGAAAGAAGGAGAAGGATGCTCTCTCCGCCTCGTCCAACAAAACCGGTATCTTCCTTCCTTGCAATCAGGAGAAGAGATGAAGAGAAGAACAGAGAGGGCACTACTGATTGCAAAGAGTAGGAGGACGAGAACCGCAGCTGTCAGTAAATTCGATAGCATCGAATGGGCGCAATATTTGCAATGCTTGCTGCTGTTTTTCTGGTGCTGCTGCTGCTGCTGCTGCTGCTCGTGAATTTGTGTCGCGTGAAATTTGTGTTCGCTGGGCATTTCTGAAAATTTGGGTGCATTCTTTCTGGGTATTTCTTCTTGGCTACATTTCGTTTGATATTTCCCGCTATTGCAGGAACATCCCGCCGGGAGCACGGATGGCTTTAGGGGTGATGACGCAAACACCGCATGCAGTGATCTACAATTAAGAAGCACACTGCCTTACATTTCCTTATAGTATTGGTTGTTTTGTTACATTCATCTTTACAAAGTTGGTCGCATTTTTCTCATTATGTATATTTTGGTTCATCTTTATGACTATAAAACTTTTGCCTTTCATCTTTACGATTTTAAAAAACTTAGCAGCACTGTTCGTCGCCCCTTAATCATAACTCTGTTGTTGTCCATAATTCCGTGAGAAAGGTAGTCATTATCTATGATACTTTCTCATTATTTTAAACTCTTAAATCTTCACTCTTGTGCACTTCATTTGTCGCGCTTGGAATATTTGACGTTTTCTTCATTTTCAGTGGTCATTTTTATTTGCGAATTGTGACATTCTTATATTTTGTAGCTGGATGATGCGGTTTTAACGGCCTGTTTATTTTTTATAGTACAGTAATTTTTCAGTCAGTGTTTCAAAGTGCACTTTTGCCAGAAACCTTTGTCCGCTTGATGTAGACCTTCTCGTTTAACAATCCACTATGTCTCGTGGTAAGTTCCAAAACTGCGTCTGTGTTTTCGTTCAATCGAAGTTGATCTCTATATTGTAGAGGTGATGATTATTATAAGATTAATGTAAATGTGGTACATTATTGTTGTTACAGTTTCAGATTTAACTTGCGATGAGACGATGTCAGCTATTGATGAAGTGGAAAGAGTGAGTTTAATACGTTATATTCATGTTATCCACAGCTGCTCATATAGAAAGAATCAAGATATTGATATCAAAGTTCTTAAATATTATGTTTTTCCAATTTTAAGAGAGATGGTCGACGCTTCTTCCAGCAATCAGTTAGTGTTCCTATAGCGCGAATTGCACCGGTAGTGCCGAGTGTTGCTTTACAGCAGAATTCACGTCAGTTTGTTAAGGTTGGTTTTTACATTTGCAGAACCGCAGTGATATCATAAAAATTTCATTTTATTGTCATATAAAACGAGCTCATTATATGTGTTTCAGTATGTATCATTCTCTATATGAAATTTACTGAATAAGCATTTTTATTTATAGACGTACATAAGGAGTCAGGCAAATGCGCCATTTGCAGCAGGTTGTTCAAACGGTAGTCAAAAAATGGTACATACATATGGAACAACATCAGTTTCTTCTATTCCTCAGTGCTCCACTGCTGTTCCTGGTCGTTCTAAACTAGTTACTATACGTCCAGTTGGAACCGCCCATTCTTTTTTGAAATCATGTTAGTTTAAGGGATAAATTATCTGTTTTCTGACTTTATAATCAAGTTCTGTTGAACATATATTCGAGTACATTTCTAGCTTTCATTATGAACAAAACCTGCGACATTGAGTATCCAGGGAAGATTGGAATAAAATTCTTTCATTTCTTTGTCAAAATAATGGCTTATTTTGCAAGTGCAGAATAATGTTGCATTATTCTGATAAAGCATACTTAAAACTTTCCGTAGTATTTTGAAAATTTTGAAGTAACTGTCATTTTAAAAATTTTAGTGGTACTGTCAGTAATAAAAAGGATGGGGTTGTTTGACATTAAACTAGTGCATACGCTGTACTTTGTTTAAGCCATTTATTAATTTCTTTTTTAAATCAGTGTTCATTTTCAGATGATATTGCCCAGATCAGTGGTGGCCCAATGACGACAGTCTATCTTCAGCAGCAACATAATTTACATTTAGCAGGTGCACAACAACCTGTTCTTTCCTTACCGCCATCGCGTGCTCGAGAATTGGAGGAATCACGCGTTGTTCGATCTTCTCCAGCTACTTTTGCAAACTGTGGGAACATTGATTCACGGTGTGACATTCTACTTGAAATTGATACTGGAATATTTCCTTCATAACTAATTTATGCTGAAGTTTATTTATTTGACTCTTTTATAGCTACTTGTTTTTTCAATTCCTAGATCTATAGAAATTTGTAGAAATTTTAGTATCCTTTTCTTTCCGTTACTAGTTAATTGATTTCAAGCCGGAAACTAAATTTTTTCTTTTCCTGCCGAGCCAAAGATAAACCAAATATATTCATTTCATTCTTTTAAGTCGATATTTGACATCTGGTCGAAGTGTTGTTGGTGTTGGCGATGTGCCGGTTCGAAGTTCTGTTCGAGTTAATCCAATTATTAGCAATGCGGTACGTTTCATCTTCTCTTTGTGATTCTAGTTTGTAGGTATATACTTAGGCACTGAGGAACTTGACGTTTTTTGCATTCTTCTATTATATTTTGATGTATCTTCGAAGTTGCTTTTGAAATAAGGTACATTTATTGCAAAATACAGTTATACTTACGTGTAATGATGGCAGGTTAGTTGCTAAGATACATAATTATATACGAAACAGAAAAATGGGAACAGAGCAAAATTTGTTTTATTAAAAAACTCCTCTGTGTTTATTTTGTAAAGTTTTATTTGGTTCAGGACTTCTTACGCGGTGCGAAGGTAGTAACACGTATTTCTGATGAAAGGACGGATATGAAACCTGTCGTGATACCCGCACCAACTGTAAACATAGCGTGCTCCACCTCTGCTTCATCTGTTGCTGCATTGCATGACACATGTATTCCTGTTCCTGTAGGGCAGCATGATGGTATAGCAGGCACCTCATATCCTGGACCGAGCGCGCGACCCACTATTTTGCGCAAAAATCGAGAATCAGGTAAATTTAATGTTATAATGGAGGAGGGGGGAAGGAGGTTTAAGCATATCATGGTTTTCCCCAGATATTTTCCGTGAAATATTCATATTTTCATTACTTTTTTTATAAGAAGCATTTTTGAAGAGCTTACAACTTTTTCAGGCTCTCTCTCTGCGGTGCGTCGCTTAATTGTTGCAGAAGCTCATCCACATACAAACCCATATCAGGAAGTACTAGCATCACCCTTAGCTGCGGTGAAAGACAATTCGGGGCAAGTTTTTGCTGTGTTCAAACTTCTAATGCTTAGAATGTGTTGTTCTACATCTTTTTTTTATTTTTCAGTTTAATGTGTTTCAAACGCGCAAACGCTACAGACGGTCGTATGCTGAGCGGCTCACCGTGCATGTCACCTGATGCTCGCGGAATCTTTTCTAGGAAAACGCCTGCTTTACTCATTGGCAATGTTGTGCAAAACGCAAAAAACTTTCCAGATCAGGTTAGACAAATTTTATTTTTTTATCAGATAAATGTTCGCATATTGCAGTGGAGAAAATCAGCCTCAAAATTCATATCGGGATAGAGATGTGTGTTGAATTCATGAGCCATCACAGAAGATATGTTTATTCGTAATTTATATTATATCTAAGATTGCTGTTGCTGGAGCTGTAGAAGTATCACCACGGAAAAGACTGAGAAAGCAAAACTTCGAGTGCACAAATACGGAAAAAATGAAGGTATGGTTTATTTCACTAGTTCATACTTCAACAGATTTCTGAATAAGATTTTTATGATATTTCAGTTGCTTATAAGTACTGAACGAGTCGTTGGAGACTCTTTTGTTACTGTGAAAGATGAACTTACTTGGAAATCTGCAGATCTTGACTGTGAATCACGGTATGTTTATTGTTTTAGTGATTCATACCTTACAAGACCACTAATAACGGTTGCTTTCATGGTGTTATTTAAATCATCCCTTTTGATTTTTGCAAAAAACATCATTTAGAACTTCATATTTTCATCTTTTGCGTTTTCCTTGAACAGATATTTGGAGCCTATCGTTTCCCGTATGTTTTTACGCTAATTGAGGATAAATTAAAGATAAGATTATAAATTAAAGATAAATTAAAGAAAAATAAGTGTTTTTTAGAGAAATGGAAAATCCAGTGCCTGAAAAAATGCCCAAACGGCGTAGTCGAATGCGCGTAGATAATTGCTCTGGGACAGTGTCGCTGCAGCAGCGCGTTTCAGCATCAGTTCCCCATCAGATTAATTCTGATGGTTATGCAAAGGTGAAGAGGATGAAGAAAGCTCAAGTTTGCTCTTATTGTTTATTATCAATACATTTGCTATCGTGTTGAATCTTTTCTGTTTGTGAAACATTGAGATATTTGTGTTAAAGTAGTATTGGCTTTTTGATTCATTGATCACAGTTGCGTAGAGAAATTTTTAAAAATAACTTTTTTTTTCTAATGCATAATACGCTTCCTTTAGAACTATTTTAAAGGAATATCATCATGGTTTCATTACGTCTCTCTCCCCTTGAGACTTATTTAGAATGCCCGCTTCTTACTAATATATAATTCAAAAAAATTTACTAAGTTTCATGTGCTTTCCTTTTTGTGTAGTTTCTTCGGTACTTTCTCCTGTTTTATTAAATTTTATGTGCAATTTTCTTGGCAGCAGTAGATGAACTTTAGATCATCACACGAAATAAGTTGTCTGCATCAGGAGTCCCAGCTGTTGTTGAGCTGGACTCCAATTCTTGGCCGATCAATAGTTTTGTTGATGAAAAGCGGCCATCACTGCAATATGGACAAACGGAATGTGCAGATGCAGAAACAATAGGTGCTCAGGTTAACCAAAAATGGATTGAGGAAGCGGAAGTCCAGAAAATTGAAGATACCACTTACTTGATGTGTCATATATTTGGGTGATTTTTTTGCTCGCTTTAATTATCAACCAGTCATAAGAGTTGTAGTTGCAGAATCTTGTTGTTTCCTTTATATTTAGAGATATTTCCTTCGAAACAGATGATTCTGCTTACACGTTTAGCATTCTACAGTACAGTTTCTCATAACATAATGATTTGGAAAAGGGATGGTTAAAATGTGCGTTAGGTTCGTAAAGGAGAAGTGGCAACATTTTAGAAACAGATCGAAATGATTTTTGCTAATTCTCATAGTTTTTATTGCTGATTTCTAGTATGTTGTTATCTCTTTACTTTAGTAAATATAATTTACTGAATGGTTTATTTGCGTCTACTGTCCGCTTCTGTTTTTCTTTAACTATAAAATTTTTTTTTTTATAGATTAGAAATGGCCGTCCCAGGTAATTCTTGTTCACACAGTCAACGGATTCTTCACAACTCATGCGATATATCAGCGACACTCTGCTTTTTTGGTGAGGACAAGATAAATGGAAATAATCCTTCAACTGTTTTAGATGAAACCTTATCTGATGTGAGTCTTTTCAGAAGTTGTTTGAATATAATCTTTTTCTGGTGGAGAAGGAGAAATTCAATACTATTTGTAATTCACTACTGCTTTTTTTGCACTAAATACGTCCTTCAGTTATTTTGCCTTTGGTTTTTTGGTTGAATATCAATAATGTGGTGTTTATTTTACGCTGTAGGTGGCGATAATGTTGGCAGAAGAACCCTTTGGATCAACCGCACAAAAAAGTGCCATCACATCGGAAAGCACACCAGATATTCAAAACAGTAGTGGAAGAAATGAAGTCCAATGTCATCAGTTTACTGAACAGGTGTAGTAATTTAGAGAATTTTTCTTTCAATAAGATGAGATGGTTCGTTGTCAATTTCAGTAAACTGATATAATAGTTTTACATATACTAGATTTTGCCTGCTTTTGGTGCTGACAAAAGGTTCATATTACTTCCAATATTTCTGATGTAATTGAAATTTGTTATTGCTATAATAATCGGTGACCATTAGGCAATCGGAAGATGAACATCAGTGTTATGAAGTCGTAGAATTTTATAAATTTTTTCGAAAAGCCAGAAATTGTTTTAGTTATCTTCAGGGTCAAGTGAACTGTATGGCAGTGAACTAAATCATAGCTTTAAAAACATTGGGTTAATGAGGCGGAAGAGCCATCTCGAGTTCAATACTTTTTTATAGAATCGGAAGGTGCTTGCTCAAATGCTTCTATGTTCTGGTTTAAAAGATCGTTGGCAACGATTTGATCGCATCTCCGGTTGTGAGCGTGTGATAAAACGAATATATGTGAAGCGCTGGATGTTGCAAGAACATTTTCGCAATGCAAAGCAGTCGGTAACAACCGATGTTGAACTAAATTTAAATTTGGTTTGTTCTTAAAAATTTCTCATGTAAATCACCCGCGATATAAAATCTATTTAAAATTTAATGCGGAATTATGTTAGGTATCAAAAAAAATTGTATGATTTGCAGATTGCTTCATTGGAGGATTATTCACTTATGGCGGCCAAAAAGCAGGCGGAAAAATTTCTTGAAAATTATACAGTTTGTTCACCTTCAACCTCCGATAATGTTTTTGAAAAGAATGTTAATAATGGGCCTGTATATATTTACAAATATCTGGAAGAAGCTTTAGAAATTTATACGCGTAGTGCGAGCAGTGGCTTAGCAGGAACTGGTCATATATCATCTCGGAGAAGCATACAAACAGGTGTTAGGTTATCTCGTGGTTTGCAGCCTTTTAGTTACGCGAGTCGACGTGACCCAGAAACCGAAATGCTACAAGCAGTTGCAGAAGTTCTTGCGGAAATTATTGAAATTGTCGTCGAAAGTGATAAAGGTGATGAACTTAATACTTGAACAATTAATAAAGGTTCATTTTTTTAATGATTCAAGCTGTTAACGTTGAGAGGAATCATTTAACATATTATAGGTGGACAAGAAGAGAAAAATGAACAGCAGCATTTAGGAAGAAAAAGAAAAAAGAAAGATGACCATTTGTTCGAAATCAAAATTGCAGATCGATTTGGGACCCTTGAACTACCTCATACTCACACTGTACCTCAAGTATTACATTTCATTTCCTTCAGAAAACGTGTAAGCACTTGATCAACTTATGTTAAAAGGCTCGAATACGGCTTTTATTAAAGAGCTATGCATTCTCTTGTAGTAGTTGATTTTTGGACGTTCCACGCGTCTATATGGACATTGGAAAAGAGCTTTCAGTTTTAGTTTTTTTATTAATCTACAATATATTGAAATGTGCAGTGAATCTTGGTATTATTCATTGTCTAGCGTGATCAATATTTCTGGTGATTTTGCAGTTTTTTTTTTGAAGGTTGCAGTTTTTATCATCTAAGACACAAAATTAAATCTAGACGAATCTGTGAAAATTATTTTTGATGTTTTATTCTCTATAGATTTTCGGCATAATTTTGTCGGATATCTTTTCTATGTTTGTGTTGATAGCAGGTCATATCATTGATGCATTTCAGACTTCGAACAGTGTTGTTACCCTATATGATAATATAAGCCAGTACACTCTTAGCAGAAAAAGGAAAGCAGAAGCTCGAGATGCGGATGATGCTTTCTTTATGAATATTGAGAAAGAACTAAATCGTAAAAGGAAACGAATTGGAAAAGATAAAAGCCTTTCTCGGACATTGCATTCTATAAGGTTTGTTGCATTGTTTCTAAAAAGAATGTGTAATGTTATATCTAGCAGATGCTTCTTCAGTTTTTCTGTTTTACACATGATTAATTCAGAAATATCAAAACTTCAGTTATTGTGTCTTCGTTTCAAGAGTTTATGAATATGATGACCGGATATGTCAATTTAACGACAATTTATAGTTAACTATGAAGAAAAATCTGCTAGATTTATTCCGGTACTTTCAATATTTGAAAAGGAATTTTCAGTCAAATGCGAGTAGTCCATCAAAGATTATCGGATTTACGGAAGGCCGAACGTGACAATTTAAATGAAGCAACAAAACAGATGCTTAATCTTGTCAGATATAGTGACCCTACATCTTATGCCGAACTGATAAATGATCACAAAGAAGTTGGTTTGCTTCTTGATTTGCTTAAATCCGAAACTGTTTAGGCTTTGAGATGAAGAACACATTGCTGGATGAAATTGCGGTTGTTTTTTCCTTAGCTATCGTCATAAACAAGAAGAGCGGTTCAGTGAACTTTGTTTTGTCATTAACAGTGCAGTAGTTTTAGTGAGATTAGATTTTGTTTAGCAGGGAAGAAATACAAGTTTATTTTCCCGAGACTTGCAGTTTATTTGCATTTTCAGATTACACATTACTTAATTTTAATGATTTATTTGACGCATCAATATTGACCCTAGCTTATCACAATATACCTTTTTGAGGACTGTCAACCTTATGATAATGAAATCGTTCGAGAAGAAAAATGGCAAAATCGGCTTCTATCATTTACTAAAGCAGTTCCTTCTAAAATTATTTCAACTTCAAGGAATTATGATGCAAATATAGCAATGAAACTTCATCCACCAATGAATTATACGCTCAAATTGTTTCGGGTTTGTTTTTTACTCAAATATTTGAGGATGGAAATAGTGCAATGAAAGAAATGACTTCGGGGATTAAACCAACAAGATTGGTCAGCCGTCGCATGAATCGATGCCACCACCATGCGGTCATTGTAGAAGGCCTCTTTTTCGTATCTTTGTTTGTGGCCTGATCCCAAAGTTGCGCAGCCGTAATGAAGTTATCAGAACTGTCAATTGTGCTGACGTTGATATCTGTTGAATATGACTAATTTCAACTTACCATTGCTGATTTATCCAGCCATTATTTATTAAACTATGTAATAATTTTAAGGAAAAGTGTATTCGACCACCTAAACGTTTTCGGTCAGGAATGAAACGAACGCGCAAAAGTCAGTCACGTAGAAATCGCGGTCGCCAACGTGGAAGTATTGCACGTTCCAAGAAAAAATCACCGACTCCTGAGTCGAAGCTGGAGGATCTTGAGCCACATTTTACAGCTGCAGAAATGGGCGCGATGTTCAAGAAAGAATTTGGAATGGATATGAATACATTTAGGCAAGCTTGAATATATTTCTGAGAGTAATTTTTTTTCTCAGTTTGAATGGTGAGCTAATTTTACTGATCCTGCGATTTTTTCTTTTTTAATATAATTTTACCCAATGAATTTAGATATGAACGTTGCTCACAACAAAAATTACATTCCGCTTGTATTGATCAAGAGCAGCCATTCCATAGTAGAGAAGAGCAAAGGTTGGGAACAACAGAAACGTCAATTCGAAATGTACCTTGCACAGATTGTGTTGTGTTAAAGAAGAATACATCAGTGGATATAGAAAATAAAGGTGCAACGGTTAGTGAAGTCACGGCAGTAATTTCCGAAGATCCAGAAGTTGTTATTGAAAACTTGATGAGTGGAGAAGCGCAGCGTGGGAATGGAAGCGACGGAAGTCATGTTGATTCATTGGTGACAGTGCCTTATATAGATCTTACTCAAAATGATGAAATCAGTTTATCAGAACATGTGCAAACACGCGGGCGATACATACGTGAGCATTTCGCCACATTGCTACATGCACTGCGAATGAGTGAGCTGTTGACAGTGAAAGCGATCAAAATGTTCAAGGACTACACAGCAGATCTGTTCGACAATAGAGATGCGAGTTAAACTTGAACTGATCATTGCTCCGAGCTTCATCTCAGATGCTTGTACTTGTATTTTAAACTAAAATCTCAACCGATTTTCATGCAATGTGTTATTTTTTTTTGCCTCTTCATATCAAATCCTTGCTGTACCTTGGTTTATTGTGGTTTTGATTTATTTTTCTTTTTACAAATCTGAATGACGCTCCTTTCAGTTTATCCATTTCAGCATTTGAGAATTTTTGTTTTTACAGAATAACAATAATTTCTATGAAAACCTACAATATATGATCTCGTACTTTTAAGTGTTCATCCCAGCTTTGCTTCATGTTAATTGATTTTAAATGGATGTTATTCTAAATGACCGTACATTTTTTGTA